ACGCCTCGTTGGAGATACGTCACTGCCCATTTGAGTCTTCCATTTAGTTCCGGGTACCGCCTGATGTCATGCGGTACCCGGAACGAAATGGACCAATCCCGAAGAGCTATGGCCACACCAGCAGCGGCGTGTTCCTCCTCCAGAGGTTCGAAGAACCGGCATTTCACAGACGAAAGCTTCCAAAACATTGCCCAGTTTGAGGCCGGATATGCACAGCTTGTTTGGACCGTTTGGAGCAGGGGAAGATCTGGGTATACAACCTGTAAGTTTGCATTGTTATTTGTGTATTTATCAAACAAGACTGTTTAAATGTGTAAACTGTGTTGGACTGCTAAGCCATTGACACAGTGCTAACTGTGCTAACTAAGTTGCTAGAGTGTCCATATATCAACTCTAATATCAGCAGATGGCCTTGCATACATGTATCTCATAGCAGGAGAATGTCTGCATTCACACACAAAATACCTATTGACAGTATACTCCGGGTGATTTGCCGGTCAGTCGCGAAACTTAATTACATTATAGCTGGCGTAGCGATCTAACACACGGAGCTAGAGCTAGTTTTGGTCGGAAAAACATTTTTGTGATGCTACGTTGCTAGCGTTTAAATATATCAACTACAATGTCAGCAGATGGCCTTACATGTTTGTCATGGCAGGAGAATGTCTGCAGTCACACACACGGAATACTCATACAGTATACTGTACTGTGATTTACCGTACATTGTGACCGTACATATACTGCATGTAGCTAACGAGGCTAGCTGTATGCTAGCGCAAAACAATGTATTCATGCAAGTTACATTGTATGGTAGCAGAATACCCGTATACGATTGCAATTATAAACACGTTATTGCTAGCCTAATATGAACCACTAGCTTTTGTTCATAGTAGTTTTATTACACTGCATTATAGTTGCCTTTCCTCCAAGCTAACGTTCATATCGTGTTAGCTACAAAGGTAAACAAAGCTAGGTTAGCATATTAGCAGGCAAGCTGTTCATTACACAACTACTACTAACAAATCTAAAACAACTAAGTTTCTCTAATATTTTGTGATTTGCATTTGATTTCGTCCAGCCAGATCCTGGCGGACAATCCATGACGGGGAAGGGACTTCGACTACTACTGAGGGCTCGTGCTAAAAGGCACCGCACCGACTGTGCGCGGGCAAGATGCGAGGAGGAGGAATGAATGATATACCGTGTGTATATATGTATATTTATGTTCATTTTGTACATTTCTAAAAATAAAGTTTAATGGAAATACTTAGTAGGCCTATCCTTTCTTCCCTGAATTCATATATAGCAAACCATGATTTGATTTCTCATCAAACAGTAGTAGTTTATAACGGGTAAAAATAACTTACTCTTTGTTATGAGAGTAGCTCGTAGGCCACAACGGAAAGACAAGGAGACATACACGAGTTTACAAAACCACGGCACATTTATTGTGGTAAATGCAGAGATAGGTGGTTGAGAGGATCGCAGAGTAATGGCGCAGTTCCACTACAGCGCGGAGCTCGCTTTAAGCGTGCCGTGTCGTGCCGTACCCGTTTTTGGTTGCGCTTCCACTAGGCCTAGTCACGGCCCGGCACGGCCCGGGGCCACTTTTTCACCTCTTTTCTGGCCCGACAAAATTGTGGTTCTATCGGGGCCAACAAACAGGGCTGAGTCGGGCTGAGTATGCTAAACTAGAGAGAGGAGCGCTGGCAAGAGGGCTCCAACTACAACAAGATGGACATATTTGACCGTGATTTAATTGTAATACACGTTCCAAAATGATGCCGAAGTAACAACATACTGATACCGGTTAGTAAAAACCATGAATTAATGCTTTGTCAAGTCTGCAGACAGACGGCAGGGGAAAAACCTCTTAAAATTCGTGTTTTTCTAGATGGAGATTGGCTAAGCTAACGCAGTATATGCCCCGACCGTCCACACTCACAACAACGGCCTATACAGACATAAATAAAGCAGCGACTGTATTCACCATGACACAGGCAGTCTGTGGTGTGTACTTGTTTAACTTTTGTCGAGTTTCTGAACATATATAAGGAGCTGTGAGCTCTGAGTGCTAACAGCTAACGGCTGTGTTGTGTTTTCTGGAGTTCTCATTGAAGATGACGTCACGGCTCCGCCTACACTGCGTTACTATAGTAACTACCCCAGTTCCTAAACTGTAATGGAAGCGCAGCATGAAGTGAGTCGGCCCTGTTAAGGCCCAACGCGGCCAAGCCGTACCGAGCCGTACCGAGTGTGGCCGAGGCCGACCGTGTAGTGGAAATGCGGCATTAGTCTTCCTGCAGCCGCTTTGGAGAGAGACTGTGTCCGGAGGTGTCCGTGATCGTGCTGATTAGCCTCTTCAGCTCCACCCCATCGTAAGACAAAGGCCCTGGGGCCGTCACACTCTTCTATAACAACAGTTAAAAATATATATGTATATAAAATATACCGCTGTACCGACGCCATGATAAGACTGATGTTACGCTGAGAGCAGCCGGGAAAAGCACTGACATGGGCGCAGCCTCTCTGGTGGTTGACTAATCAGAACGAGTGGCCGAGCTGACCAATCGGAGCACACTAGGCTCACAGGGAGGGGGGGGCAAGAGCTCCAACGAGTCGTTTAGTGGAGAAAGTGAATACTGCTGAATACACATGCTTGACAGAGATGCTGTATGCGAAACCAATGTGAGTTTGGAAAATTGCACAGTATAAATCTATTTTAGTATACCTCAACAATGTAATTATGATCAGTGGAAATGGCCATGACATGGGCCCTTTAAGCTATTTATAATATTTCATTAAATTAATTGGAAGTTGTTTAATCTCAACTTGCTACCTGTCTTTTTTTAATCTATTTATTTAAACATGATTCTGTCCTCACCATCAAGTAGGGGAGACCAGGGACAGTTGTAACACTTTTTGGGTTTTCCCCAATAAGTACAAAAACATTTACACTAGGATAGCCATTTTGCTATATTATACATTCTCAATGTGTCAACTACTGAAACAATGTATTTAAGATGTTTCTATGAAATAAGTACAGGTTGGAAAATGTATTTTTTTTTAAAACTCAACTGTTACAACCATCCCTGTGTACAGGGACAGTTGTAACACATGCCAGGGACGGTTGTAACATGTTAATAACGGTTGCCTTTTTTCACACTACATGACAAAAAAGAGGGAAAGCTGTCAAATTCTAAGGCAACAAGATTTGAATGGGGTTTCACACATCCTCCAACAAACAATGAACAATGAACAGAACTTAAAACAGAACACCAGATGGAATTAATCTGATTCACAGTTGTGACAGGTGTTTTTATGGAACCGGTACAGGGTGACATGGCATATATCATGGGACTTTGCCACTGCCCTGACTGATTTGCCCTCCTGACTTTTCATTTGAGGCCCTCATGCAGCAGAGGAAGTGGCACTCCCCTGTCTGTCTTCCTCTTTCTGATATTTGGCATACTGTAAACACACGCACACACTTTACTGTACAGTATTTGATTCTGTTTATTTTTACAGGGACAATGCACACCAATCAACAATATTGATCATTCGAGCAAATGAGCCATCATTGTAAATGTGCCATGTTACAACCGTCCCAGGTGGTCCGTGTTACAACCGTCCCAGGACCACCAGTCATGTTTTCACCCCCTGTGAACCTGCCGGATTGCTAGCTTGACCCATATTTAGCTAGTTATATGTTTAGCTTACAAAACAGTGATTGTAATAATACTAGTTTGGATTCCAAGACATTTGACCTCAAGACAGTATCCAAAAAATACATCATATAATTTTTGTAATTGTTTTACCTCAGAAACACACTTTTGCTGATATCTTTCGCGAGAGATTTAAATGTGGCTCCTTTTTTTGGCAATCTTTCCATCTAACTGCGCATGTGCAGAGTGAGTTTCATCACTCTAGCTCAGTATTTCTCAAAGTGGGGGGCGCAGAGGCATGACAGGGGGGGCGCGAGAAACCAGGAGGAAAAATGTTTTTAAAAAAATCATAATTTGAAAATGTATTGATTTGAAAATAATATGATACAGTACAGTACAAGTACGTCTGGGTCTCTGTGTTTCATTCAAGCTCGGCTCTGTGTGTGTGTGGAACGAGCCATTTTGTGTGTGTGCGCGAGAGAGAGAGAGAGAGAGAGAGCGCTCCGGTACCGGAGATCGTTGTTGTTAGCTTCTGGTGCTAGCGAGCTAGTGGCCGGGTCTCAAACGGTTTGGTCACGATTAATGTAAACAATTATTTCCGAGGCACACGTTTATATGATCATTATAGTTATAAAAAAATAAGAGAATAAATGAAAAACAGGTATGAAATACTATATGACATTAAAAAAAGAATAAAGTTTAAAAGGGGAGTGATTTGTAAAATATCCATAAAGAAATAGTAAATCTGTTTACAGGTCTGTTTCAAATGGGTGTTGAGAGAGGTATCCATAGATCTCTTAATGTTGCTCTCAAAGTGCACCAGATTCAGATTGATGCTTTTAACTTCAATATTTTAAAACAAATCTTCCCGGGGGAGCTAGCCCCCGGACCCCCCTATGTGAGGTCCACACACCACTTATAAAAATAGCACTTTACCCCTGCTTACACCTATATGCCGTGAGCTGATTATCGAGCCTTCATTGTAACTGTCGCGGGTACACTGTGTATTTGCGTGGGGAGTGTTGCAGTAGAAAATTCCACTGTAGCACCCGGTACATTAAAGGGAAACCCTAAATGTTTGAGCACCCTCTATGAAACGTCAAGCTACCCCACAGCACCCCCCACTGAGCCTGCAACCCCGTTTTGAAGAAATGTGCAGTGCAAAACAGGCTCATTGTAGCCACTAATGCTGTGATAAGACACACTTTTTTGCCAAATATCAGCATTTTCTTTCTTTTCATTTTTTTGCACAGATTGCAAAGTGGCAAAGTATTATAACTTATTGTTCTAGCAAAGGGATTGCACAATGAAGAGTTTATCGCCGGCCACTAGAGGGCAGCGTGTCACTGCTGTCGCACAGGATATGCCGTGCTCTGACCCGGTAGAACTGAGCAGCCATTTTAGTTCAAACATTGTTCATTCACTCCGCCTCGTGTCGAGACGTTCATCCACTCACACATGTAAGACTGTTCCCACTATTGTTGGTGTATATATACGTGGTGTCGTAGCATATATTTGTGTTGTGTTAATGATGACATGCATGTATGTAATACTTTGTCAGCTTACCTCGCTGTATTACTCTGTTTCAGGGTGTCGTCATCTTTGTCATTAAAACACTGAAACTGACATTGAGGAGTGTGTTTCTTCATGACGACACCATGGTCGTTGTTGGATGCCCTGCCCCCGGCTGAGAGTTCAAATCCGAAGACGTATCTGAAGCACTCGTCATTGCCCTATTGACGATTCATGGATTTAGCCACCAGCACGCAGCGCCTGTCATGGCCGCGCCAGCCCAGGCCCCAGCCCCTCACGGCCCGAGACTCGATCGGCCCAAAGTTGATGTGGGCGTATCGATAGAGGAATGGAACGTGTTCATCCGCCGTTGGAATGTATTCCGCGCCGGCTCAGGCATAGGGAATGCCCAGGCCCCATTCCAGCTGTTTCAGTGGGCTGGGCCTGTACTTGGAGACAGCCTGTTGAAAGCCGTCCCCGACGCCGCTTCCGGACCCTTGCCAGATCTGATCGCCGTCATGCGTTCCCTAGCTGTCATCCCAGTCGCTACATGCGTCCTGCGCACCGAGCTACTCCAGTTACGCCAGGAACGCGACGAGACATTCCGCGCATTCGCTGCCAGAGTGCGGGGTAAAGCAGAGACATGCGCATATAATGCGGTATGCGAGTGTGGTAAAGACGTGGACTATACCGACCACATTATCCGTGATGTTCTGCTCAATGGCATCTATGACTCGGACATACGCCGCGAGACGCTGGGGACATCTGATGTCCTGGTCAAGCCAGTTAACGATGTAATTGCACTCGTCGAGAACAAAGAGATGGCCCGTAACGCTCTCCCGTCGTCCTCCCTATCAGCCATGTCGTCATTCCGGCGCCTGCAGACGACTCCACAGACGAGCCCCGCCCCGAGCCCTGCGGCCGGGGCTAAACGTGCCTCGTGCCCGGAATGTAAGAGCGTCTTCAACGTCTTCACGGAGGGGCCTCGCGGGTGGAATCCGAAGCCTCACCTGGTGTGCATCGGCTGCTACAGGGCCCGCCGACGACAGAGGCGTCCACAGCCGTCATCCGACAGTCAACATGCCGCCATGGGGTCGGAGCTGGTCTCCCAGGTCTCGTCGGTGCGAGCTGGAGCCCGCCCTGGCCGACGTCACGGGAGCCATCGCCGACGCCGCGCCCCTACGTCGCACGGCTGTCTCAACAAGCCTGCACCTATCAGACTCGAGCACCACATCTTCTCCAAAGGCGAATGGAGACGAGCCAGGATGAGAGACCACCCCCGAGCATTGATCACCATCTCGATGGACTCGCCAGTCGGGCTGAGGGATGGCACCAGCAACCGGGGCTCGGCCGACGGAGCTCGGATATCCGCCGTTGCGGACACTGGCGCGCAGTCGGACCTTTGGTCTCTGGAGGAGTTCCTGGCCTGCGGTTTCGCGCGGGACGACTTGCGACCCGTCAGCCTCAGCCTGTCGGCCGCCAACCGCTCCCCTATAGCCATCGAGGGAGCGTTCTTCGCCAGGCTCTCGACGACCTGCAGCGGGGGGCGTGTTACATCCTGCCGTTCCATGGTATACGTGAGCAGCTCAGTCCGGGCCATGTACCTATCCTACGAGTCGTTGCTCAACCTCGGCCTCTTGCCCGTGGGCTTCCCGTCGGACGACATTGCAGGGGGGGCCCCAGGACGGGTGTGGCCCTGACACGGCTGACACGCCAGACCAGCCCTTATCCGTCAATGCGACGAGGTCAACCAACGGCGGCTGCGTGGGGCCAGGGGACCCCCAGGACGCCCAGTGCTCATGTCCTCAGCGCACGGTCCCCCCGGCGCGCCCCGCAGCTTTGCCGTTCCCTTGTACGCCAGAGAACAACAGCCGGATGAAAAGTTGGCTGCTCGGGAGATATGCCTCGTCGACATTCAATACTTGCCCCCATCGGGCACTACCATGCATGGAGGGGCCACCTATCGAGATGCACGTGGACCCCGCAGCTACACCTAAGGCATGCCACACCGCGGCTACAGTGCCTCTACACTGGCAGTGGAGGGTCCACGATGACCTCCTGCGGGACGAAGCCCTCGGGGTCATTGAACCCGTACCATACGGCGAGCCAGTGGCGTGGTGCCATCGCATGGTAGTCACTCGGAAGCACGACGGTTCCCCCCGCAGGACCGTGGACCTCTCCCCCCTCAACAAGTTCTGCCAACGTGAGACCTTCGCCACTGAGTCCCCGTTCCACCTTGCACGCCGCGTCCCGAAGGGCACCTGGAAGACCGTCACGGATGCCTGGAACGGCTACCACAGCGTCCCCCTGCGTGAGTCGGATCGCCACCTCACTACCTTCATCACGCCCTTCGGCCGTTGGCGCTACACCAGGACACCACAGGGTTTCCTGTCATCAGGGGATGGCTACAACCGTCGGTTTGACGCCGTCCTCTCGGACTATGAACGCAAGGAACGTTGTGTGGATGACACCATCCACTATGACACCGACCTGGAGCAACACTGGTGGAGGACCATCGACTTCCTGACGCGTGTCGGCCGGTCGGGCATCGTGTTGAACCCGGACAAGCTTCAGTTCGCGGAGAGGTGCGTCGACTTCGCCGGCTTCAGGGTGTCGGAATCTACCATCGAACCGCTCCCGAAATACTTGGACGCCATCCGGGACTTCCCCACCCCAGGCTCCACGACGGACATCAGGAGTTGGTTTGGCCTCGTCAACCAGGTGGCTAACTACGCCCAGCTGCGTGACACGATGGCCCCATTTAAGCCGTTCCTCAGCTCGCGCTGTGTGTTCCTATGGTCCCCCGTTCTGGAGGAGGCCTTCCAGACGTCCAAGCAAGCCATAATGGAGGCCATCCGCGAGGGCGTGGAGATCTACGACATGCAGAAGCGTACCTGCCTCCGCCCTGACTGGTCCATGCGTGGCATTGGCTACTTCCTGCTCCAGCAACATTGTCACTGTGCCTCGGGCATACCGGACTGCTGTCCAGGAGGATGGAGGATCACCCTCGCGGGTTCGCGTTTCCTGTCCCCTGCGGAGCAGCGCTATGCGGCCGTCGAGGGAGAGGCCCTAGCTGTGGCCTGGGGTCTGGAACAGACGCGGTACTTCACGCAGGGGTCCGACAACCTCGTCGTGGTCACCGACCATAAGCCATTGGTGAAGATCTTTGGTGACCGTACGCTGGATGAGATAACAAACTCGCGTCTGTTTAGACTCAAGCAGCGCACCCTCCCATGGCGCTTCGACATTGTGCATCTGCCTGGCAAGAGCAACTATGCCGCTGATGCCACGTCAAGGCATCCTTCCCCCTCGGGCTCAGCGAACGGCTTCTCACTGGGGCTGCCGAGCGGGCCTGACGCCGTGGAGTCAGCACTCATGGCCTCCATCCGCGACGACGCACGGGAGCTCGGAGCCGTCTCTTGGCCCCTCCTCGCACGGGAGACAGCGGCTGACGGATGCCTCGGCCACCTCCTCCAACTCATCGAGCAGGAGGGTGGGATTGACGTTAACGACCCTGCCCTGGCGAGTCTGTCATCGGTCTGTGAGTCCGTCTACGCACAGGACGGCGTCCTGCTCTATCGGGACCGCGTCGTGGTCCCCCCATCCCTCCGTGGGAGAGTCCTTCGGCATCTCCATGCCGCTCACCAGGGGACCTCAGCGATGGGGCAGCATGCCCGAGCCATAGTTTACTGGCCCGGGATGTCCGGGGACATTCAGGCCACCAGGGACGGGTGTGCAGACTGCAACCGCAATGCTCCGTCACAGGCGGCTACACCCCCCCTTCCGTCACCACCCCCGTCCACGCCATTCGAGGCGGTGTTTGCTGACTTCTTCGACTATGAGGGCCGCCACTACCTAGTTGTCGGGGATCGGCTTTCGGGCTGGGTAGAGGTCCTGAGTTCTACGGCGGGTACTGCCCTGGCGGGCTCAGCTGGCCTGGTCCAACACCTCCGCTCGTTCTTTGCTACCTTCGGCGTACCGGAGGAGCTCTCGAGCGACGGTGGTCCGGAATTCAAGGCGAGCCACACTGAGGACTTCCTCCGCTTATGGCACGTCAAACACTGTGTGTCCTCCGTTAGCTTTCCGCAGTCGAATGGGAGGGCGGAAGTTGCGGTTAAGACTGCTAAGCGCCTCCTGATGTCCAACACCGGCCCGTCGGGCAGCCTTGATCAGGACCGCTTCCTGCGTGCTATGCTGCAGTTGCGGAACACGCCTGACCCCGACTGCAACCTCTCGCCGGCGCAGATCATCTTCGGCCGCCCCCTTCGTGGCTCGCTCTCCTTCGTGAACCGCCTCCAGAAGTTCTCGAACCCGCATATCCGCCCGCTATGGCGCGAGGCATGGGCGGCGAAGGAGGACGCCCTTCGGACCCGTATGTCCCGTACCACCGAGTCTCTGGGGACTCACTCAAGACCGCTCCGCCCATTGGCACTCGGCGAAAGGGTATTCCTCCAGAACCAGCAAGGCCCGAGCCCCCGCAAATGGGACAGGTCAGGGATCGTGGTGGAGTCGCTGGACCATGACCAGTATCGGATCAGGGTTGACAGTTCGGGACGTCTGACACTGCGCAACCGGCGGTTCCTCCGTGCCTACACGCCGGCCACACCCTGCGCCCATGAGCAGTCGGCCACGCCGTCGCCGCCGCCCGCTGCCCTGGGACATCAGCCCCCACCTATCCGCCCGGGCTGGGCGACGCCCCAGGGGCTTGCTCAGCGGCCGGCTGATGGTCCCCGCGACTCGGCTATGGGCGCTTCCCCACCGGCGCTTGCTGATGAGGCGTCCTCTGACCTCGCCGTTCCTACGGGTGCCTTCCTGGGCGCACCGCTCCCGGTGCCGCAGTCGCCGCCGGCGCTGCCCCAGCCCACTCGGCCGGGCCGCGTGAGGAAGCCGCCGGCACGATACGAGCCCGAGTCCGGCAGCTGGATACGGGATTTAGACCGTTAATCTATTCCAGCCTATAGCTTTCCGGTCTGGGGGGGATGAAGAGTTTATCGCCGGCCACTAGAGGGCAGCGTGTCACTGCTGTCACACAGGATATGCCGTGCTCTGACCCGGTAGAACTGAGCAGCCATTTTAGTTCAAACATTGTTCATTCACTCCGCCTCGTGTCGAGACGTTCATCCACTCACACATGTAAGACTGTTCCCACTATTGTTGGTGTATATATACGTGGTGTCGTAGCATATATTTGTGTTGTGTTAATGATGACATGCATGTATGTAATACTTTGTCAGCTTACCTCGCTGTATTACTCTGTTTCAGGGTGTCGTCATCTTTGTCATTAAAACACTGAAACTGACATTGAGGAGTGTGTTTCTTCACACAATTATATTATTATATTTTATTTGATCACACAGAAGTATGGAGCATTGTTTTATTATCACTGTTCTAGCAAAGTGATTTTTTTATTTTTTTGAAAGGAATGCTCACGTTCATATTGATGTATTTGAATAAATGTTAACTTGGCCCATTACGTGACTATTTGTGTTGGGGGGGGGGGCCCAACTTTTTTTTTTCTCCAAAGAAAAAGTTTGAGAACCACTGCTCTAGCTTGTTTGTGATTGGAGATATTGAAGGCGTTACAACTGTCCCATGTTACAACTGTCCCATGTTACAACTGTCCCTGGTCTCCCCTACCTGGTGCTCCTTTAAATTAATATTTTATTGTGCAGAGTTGTGAGCTGTCTGTGATGATGCATTTTAATTATCAATTTTAAAAGCAGTTTTTGCACATGCCAACCAAAGACGTTTTTGTGCACTTTATTTCCTTTCTCCCCTGAGTAGCTGGATGTGTTTTCTTCTTGAAGACTGTAACCAAAGCCACTCATAATATTGGGACACTGATATCAGGCAGGAACCAAGAAAAAAAATGCCATGCTCTGCAGAAATAATTACCTAGGCCTACTGTTGAAGACACATTATTCTTTCATTCAGCAACCCTGTGTATAATAAAGTAATGTGTATACAAATGTGTACCTCTGCTAGTCAGCCGTGTTTCAAAATGGTTCGTCTTAATTCTCACTCACTGGGGAAATAATAATACTCCACTCAGACACCGTCACTTTTAAACATCTCTGAACATTTTCACCCTTGAACACATCCTGGGGTCTGAGGAAAGTCCACCTCCACTAGAGGGAGACCCTGAGCCTCTGCACAGCCGTATATTACAGGCTTTGCTACAGCAACATGCTGCTGTAAATAACCATTGAGTGTCACCATCGTTTTCTTGATTTGACCTTAAAACTGCAAGGGACGGCCTTATGCTTGCTTCAGTTACAGTGAGAAGTTAGCTCATCAGAATCAAAATAGTAGTAGTAGTTTAATTGCCAATGTATGAGTTTAGGCATTTCAAATAATAATGAAAATGCAAGATTATGGTTTATTTATTTATTAATTTAAGTGTATATTTTGGGGTCTGTGTGTCTATTTACTTTTGGTTCTGTACATTTCAATATGAAAATGATTGAGCCCCTACCATTCTACCTCTTTAAAATATTTTAATTTCTGTAAATACAACAGAATATAAAATGTTCAGATAATTAAAAAGGGATGATTGATGTTAAAACATAGGATGGAGGATAATTGGATGTATGTTTGTTGGAAATTATTTGAAAGAATATTACCTGAAATAAAACTCCCCCCTCACAAACGGTTACTATGTCCTACTATGTATATCTCACAAAAAGGCTCTAAAATGATCTTTTAAAGCTTCTCAGTTAAGGGTGAAGATCTTATGAGCGGCACTTGAAAGCCATCACTCACTTGTGTTTCTGATGATTACTGTTAGCAGTACTGAAACACACCGTGGAGCTGGCAGCTGTATGCAGACACTTGATCTATGTTTGGCTTATCAATCCTGCTGTTAATGATGAACATGAAAGTGGTTGTAACTTGGGGCTGACAGGCAGCTCTCAGATCAGCTGGTAGCAGCTCACCTCTCCCAGCTCAGATGGGAGAGAGTCTGTTGAATCATGCGTGTTGACAGCGGCGATAAATCACCATGGTAGGTACAATATACGAGCTGAAGCTGTCTGACATTGCCCAGGAATGAATGGACCGAGTGCACACTTTGTAGGACTGTCTGTGAAGAAGCTTAAAGTTGGGAGTATTTCGGGAGATACACTCGTGCCCTCCCTCTCTCCCTCGGAAAGCCACTTTCTCCAGCGTCTGGTTGAATCCAGATTTTCGCTTTACAAACATTTTTTCCGGACACTCGACGATTGGGAACATAAATGATGAAGTTGAAGCCCAACCAGACCAGGACGTACGACGGCGAAGGGTTCAAAAAGAGAGCGGCGTGTGTGTGTTTTAAAAACGAAAAAGAGGAAGAGGTGAGAGGGGTGTTTGTCCACGGCTGGAGTTAGTGGTTAAACTTTATACTTTATTGTTGACAATGTTCCTTTTTTACTAAACTCTGCCTGGTTATCGTTAAGTAGTTTTAAAGTGTGTACGCCATAGTGCAGGCCGAGTTTCAGTTGAATGTTGTGTGCGTGAGTCTGCTCACGCGTTTTTAATTGATGTGTTGGGCAGAGGTGAAACTAACCTGGCTAAAATCCAAAATACTTGACATATAAAACAACAAGGGGTCTCGCACTGCATTTACTGTAACCAGCACACAGCAGGAGCCCCATCATTTGAATTTCCTGTCCAGGAGGAAATCCAGATAACTCATAATTCATAAAGACATCCTCTCTGTGTCCTGCCACTGCACACTGTGCTGGCTCAAGTATTGACATTGACAGCCTTGCACCCTCAAGAATGTCTGTGGTTACATATCTCTTCAACCGCTGATGCATTTTATAGATCTAAAATTGGATGTGATTATGAACTTTCGTGTCATTTTGGTATGTAACGCTCCTAAGCCATTAAATACCATCTGTCATTTTAAAATATTCTACATTCATGCACATTGGTGTTGTCTACCTTGCACTAGCATCAGCTGATGTGGTTATTGTACAGGATAATTTCCATATCAACACATGTTTTTGTGATCACTAATCCTTTTGCTGAGGCACCCTGCCACACCTCCACTCTGTTGCTGCTGCCTTTATAGTATCCCATGTGCAATTGACTTAAACTGTAGTAAGTTCACAATGCAGTTCTGCAACCTTAGCCTGATTTATTCTTATGAGGAATAAATCAGGCTAAGGTTGCATGTTTTCAAAATTCAATATTTGTATCTGTCACACATACAGTGCACAATTCTAGCATAGAAAAATGGTAAATACCCAAATAAACAAACAAAAACAATGCCAGAATGAGCATATCATATAGGCAATAGTGAATGGTTAGAATTATACATTAAAAGAGGAACAGATAAAGCTGCAACAGTATATAAATAAATGGCAGAATTGCTGGTATATTATAATCAATACTTTGATAGCAGAATTAGCATCTAGGCAGAAAAACTTGTCCCACATTGGCTCAGTTTGCACACGCCCACTCAAAAATGCTTACCTTTAAATCAAATGTGACCTTTCACCTTGAATATTAATATCAAATGCATCCTGCCACCTAACAGGATCATGTGGCTGATACAAAATAAGATGTAAAGAGTGCAGGCATTTTCATTTGATGCCTCCGGAAAGTACTTTTCTCTTGCTGGGTTAGTATTTAAGGCTGAGTTTATATACAATAAGTTGAACACTGAGGGCACAGGTTGTCTGAGATAACGGAGCATGTCTGCCTGGGGACGGCAGAGGGGTTGTAGGGGGATGGGGGGGGGTGTGAGTGGTGAGTGTTACACTGTGTCCTAAACACCAAGTGACCTATCAGCTGCAATTTATAGAAACAAGGTGCAGGATTTTCTTTCCTGCTCCTCGTGCTCCCCCCCTCTCCTCTTCCTCATCACTCTCTCTGTCTCTCTCTCTGCTGCTTGTCTGTGACAGAGTGCTGACATCAGCTAAAAGTCACTTTGATTGTTGTTGATTGCGCTGGCACATGATGCAATGGTCTCATGCCCAACCGATCTGTTCCTTCACTGTCACCATGTGTGCTGTGATTAGATGTGCCTCACGTCATGTGGTAACTTATCCATCCAGTCTGCATGCCTGATTTACAGTCACTTCCTCAACATCAGCTGGAGTCCAGGAACAGATCTGCAGAAAACATTCGACAGGGTGACTTCATGTTGTTTGTACCCTGAACAATAATGCCATCTGTTCATTTTCACCCTTTAATTCAAGGGAACACAACATAATGACTTACTGTGCGTTTATTCTTGATATCATCATAGTTGCTGTAACTGGCATATGAAGTACTGTTAGTCATTATGCTGTAAGTATGCTCCAGTGTACACTATCCAGTTAGTAGTATAATGCAGTTTACAAAAGGAAAATCTAATCTGGGCTTTTGGCTGGGCAAAATGGTTGAAACCAGTGTTTCTTTGATATTAACTTAATATTTAATTGATATATTAGGGAATAATATCAAAATATACCAGAAATTGATGTAAAATCACATGGTAGTTTTTTTTAGGGTTGCACAACAAATGCAGTTGTAGTAGCTAAGTCCTTTTATCCTTCATAAGAAAACAAAGTAAAAACAAATCTCAACAATACAGTAGTGCATTCCTGAAGTGCATTTTTCAAATTGCAGCTGGAGAAATGGAAACAAACGTGACCAATGTTCATTTAATATGGCCTGAGTCTTTAACATTATAATTTACGAGATCAGGAAAACATTGTTCATCACACTTTAACACAGAAACAATATTTTACACATGTAAAACAAGAACCTCAATAAGTCAGTTTATTATTACATTTTTTTCAAGAATAATTCCTTTTGACAACATGCAACGGTCAAATAGCATATTCATATCATCACAGTATTCTTTAGCAGGAAGTCAGTAAACAATAATCAAGTGTCCTCGTCTTATTTTCTGAAACAATATTGGAGTGTTATACTGAAAGCTCAATTAGAAAAGCATCAGAAGCAATACTGTATTATTGGTTTGCATTATATTGTATAGAAGTTATACGTCTAGTCACTGTTTATTTATGTCCTGCAACAGCTATAATACAAATCTGAAATAAATAGATTAAAATATAACCTCAGTGTCTTACGTAATGAGTTGTTGATCACCTTAAAGCTGATGTTGACGTGAGTGCCGGGGTCATTCACCTCGTCTGCCCAGCTCTTTTGTTTTCGTTCAGAAAGGCGACTGCTGATCAGTGGTTTTTGAAAAGCCTTTTGGCTGGGAGTGTGTGTGAGTAGCTGCGTACGTGGAACGGTCTACGTGTTTCACATGGCGTTTGAGTGAAATCGGGCATGCATGTGTGTGTTGTGTGTGTTGTGTGCATTTGTGTCAGTGAGACAGCCATCAGTGCCCCCCCGGCCCTGCGCTGTCTGAGGGGCTCTTGCAGGGCACACTCCCCACTGCTGCCATCTGCTATTATTCACCTCCTCAACAACTCTTTACTCCACATTAATGTCACACAGAGTGTAACACTCTACTGGACATTACCTATATTAGCATAGCCCTTATTTTGGACTATTCAAATGACAATATAACAATCAGATTTCACTTTGACATTACAGGGTGTGCAAAAATCCTACTTAAATCTACTGTACTTTGAGTCAATGTTTTAAGACAATATACATGAAGTCATCCTTTTTTGGCACTGTATTCTAGACCAGTGGTTCTCAACTGGTTAGGCCTCGGGACCCACTTTTTACTTGGTCAATACATCGCGACCCAACATTTTGAAGCACTCAAACCTATTCAACAAAAAATCGTGCTGTAATATATACGCTTTTCAGAATACAATATTAATAAAAGTGAAGTACAGTGCATATATCCCTTATATCCCTTCACAGAACTAAAGTATGCTTTTAAACAAGGTTTAATGAGATGATGGAATCAAAGCTGAACTATATAAAAAGGCACACATGCTGAAAACCCAACCCCAGCAGGGGGGTCTGGGGGGATTCTCCCCCAGGAGATTTTTAGAAATACTAACATAAACTACGCATTCTGGTACACTCTGAGAAGAAAATAAATACATCTATTACTACCCGACATATTAATAATATTTTATGCCATTGTTTGTTTTTCACTTAGTTCTGACATCTTGCAGAGGAGATAGTCTGTGTGATTTACTTTAAATTGTGGGTAAGGGTAGATAGCTCCCATTGTTCTGTGACCTGTCAATCATCAAACCGGGGGTCATATTTCATTATGTGTTCATTTGTATCTGAAGTTGTACCCATGGATGTATAAAGAATAGTTCTACCGCAGTTATTCTCCGTGGGGACTTCCGGCAACAATCTTGATTCTGATTGGCCAGAAGACTCGAAAAAACATCAGCAGGGATGTTTTATTGAGAAGATGATCACTACGTGACAGAAGTTTTCAAAACCATTTATGGTCTCCGGTACTTCCAGTCCAACGCCTACTGCATGCACAGCGTTAGAAAATCGGTCCTTCAAAATAAAAGTTTGCATTTTTTCCCAAAAAAAAAAAAAAAAAAATGGAATTTTTTTTTTTCAACTTTTTTTTCTTCACTCACACATCCGCGACCCACTTGAAACGGGTCCGCGACCCACTTGAAACGGGTCCGCGACCCACTTTTGGGTCGCGACCCACCAGTTGAGAACCACTGTTCTAGACTAAATAAAAACTAAGTAGGAATGAAATCAAGAAGGTGCCTTAAGGGATGCATCGTTCTTTTACATCGTTAAATTGGCAATTATTTTGCACTTGTGTCATAATTGTTCATGCAGGTTAAATGATTCCTAATGCAAATGGCTCTATTAAGAGTACTACGTGACCCAGTGAGGTAACGATCTAACCGCAGGTTTAAGTGCGAAGGTGGCAACTGCAGATTGAATTCACTGAATGTGATATTACCTGACAGTGGAATAACCTGTACCTCCTAACTTGGCCTGTTATCAGTACATACATGTTGACAGAGTGGCCTGTGTTGAGAATAAGTCACACGGTCCCCAGAGTGTTTGTTAATGCAAGAACAGAGACATCCACTTGCATTTAAGCCATTGTATCAACGACCCAAAGTACGTAAACATGTGAATAGGAGCTGTTTGTGAGTTTTAAGTTTTAGTTTCATAGTGTGCTATTCATGACGAGGTTAAGTCCTGAGATTTCGTGAGGGATTTATCTTACTCCTCATAACGAGGTTACAGAATTGAAATACAGCCAAGCCAAATCACCGGCGTGAAGTTTCACTCATCAAAGTATTTTCTGTGCGATGTTGACCACCTTTGACAGCCGTGAAGATGTTATCATTAGTGCTCCTCACTAATCTGCCATGCATTCACTATCAGGTCCAGGGAGGAATGCCGATCCATTTTCAATATACCTAAATCTCAGCTGGGACATTGGTGTTCTATATAGTGTATAACAAGCAGCGGGCATTCAGAAACTAGCACCAATAATGATCTCGCAGTGTGCATGCTGATTTTTGAGTTCTTGTTTTTGATCAACCTTAGCTGTCAAGAGAGCTCGACTAACATGTAACAAGTTTGAAAGGATGCAGGAAGTATTCACAGGTCAGTGGGATGCCAGATAGGGTTTTAAGTGACTGCATCTCTAGAGGGACGCCGTCCTTAAAAAGACCTAGCTTCATTTGATTGAGGTCAGTTAATAACACTGCCGAATGAGTTTGATCAGTTCAGATGAGACGTCATGTTTTTCCACCTCAAGTTTTGAATGTTTCATTGTTGTCTGTTTTTAAAGCAAAAACTTTGATTATTATTTATTAAGAAAATGATGGCTGGAATGATTTAATACAATGGTTATTGTGGAGCTGTTTCAGATACAATCTTATCCTACATTCTATTTAAAGGCTGTCCATCTTGATAATACATTGTTTTGCAACGTATTGTATAATCCACCTAAAATATTAGATATTCCCTAAAGGTGTTGCTTTCATTATATCCTTTTATGTCAGACAGAAAAACTCTCAGGCAGGAAAAGTGAGTTTGGCTTAAAGGTGGGGTAGGTAATTTTGGAGAAACCAGCTCGAGTGCGCTAGAATTTGAAAATACACAACCGTAAAAAATCTGCCACTTCCTTACAGAGCCCCTCCTCCAACACACACGAACGCGCACATGACCAATGAGGGCACGAGATAAGTTTGTGCACAGATGGAAGGCTGACAGGCAGGTAGGCCATCCAGTTATTTTAGCCGGGCCGGCTAAAATGATTGGTCGTGCTTTTTACAGTACTACAGCTTCCACAGATGACATTTTTTTATGGATTTTTTGTCAAAGCACTTAAGATATTCATTGCTATCAGGATGTTAAGAGCATTCCATGGAATATAACAAAAAGTGTATCTCGAGCCGGTTTCTCAAACTTACCTACCCCACCTTTAAGTGTTGAGAACATTATATTAAATGTAATGTTACTTCATACCCATTAAAGTAAATCTTTGTTTGTTTATCATCAGTATCTACTTGTGCTTTGAATGCAGGAACATTTACCACCGGATACGGGTTACTCTCAACTCTTATTTAGATTATGTGACAAATAACATGACATGCTCAGCAGCCCAATCCACACTGCGCTCATATTGCATTAAATAAATGAATTGAATGACCGGCATGAGATGCTAGATTTTTTTTTTTTGGATATGGATCCTGCTGAATGACTAGCCCCACACTCAGCTGCCGCCAGACACCTAAAGTGATGACCGAGTCTAAACTTGGGCATGCCGTTGGCGTGTTTCTGGCACCCTGAACTCTGCCTCAGGGACCTGACCAAGGCCTTTCTTATTGGCAGGTGCTTCTAGTGAGCAGCAGTCGACATCCAGACCAATGGATTGTGCCAGGAGGAGGAATGGAGCCAAAGGAGGAGCCCTGTGGGGCCGCCGTCAGGGAGGTGTACGAGGAGGTGAGCTCATCCACTGAAAAAAACAGACACAGGCATCATGTAACTGCGCTTATTTTATTATGTGTTGGAACTACTTTAAAGCAACCAGTAAAACATGTCCATAGTGTTTTTGCATGTGTATCTACAGATTGCAAACACGTTACATGCTTCCAATACACTCAAGTAAAGTTTTGAGGTACTTTGAGGATTTCAGATTCAGAGTAAATGCAGGTGAAAGTAGGACTTGGTTGTTGTTGAACTCAACTGGTTGAGGGAATTTCCAACATGTGAGTAATGAGAGTCAGCTGATCAACAGCATCAACTAGCTGTGTTGTCTAAAAAGGAAAGTATTAGATAAACAGGAGGCAGAGTAAGGACATTGTGAATTAGGTCATTTCATGTCTTCAAAAAAATCTCAGCAACCTACCACATGAATATGATCGCATGAGTAAGAACAGACTCAGTCCTACATTGTGTGATGATAGAGTTGACAAAACTCAAAGCAGGCTAAGAAGTCATTGTGGCTCATTATGCAATTTTTCTGAGACCCTTTAATGTTACATTACACTAGAAAATTAATTGACAACATTGATATTATTTGATATGTTAAAGGCACAGACCCAAATGATCATTATCATAAACATAAAGTGAGTATGGCAGCCATCCTTGAGAGTGAGTGTTGTCATGGGTTACACTTTGAGATCCTCCCGATGGTGTATGGATCCAGGTGATGGGTGGACATATTTACCCGTGATAGTTGAACTACACGTGCACTGTTCTGTAGTTCAGTGAATGGGGGTGGCTGGTTGTTGAACTCCAGTGCGATGTGAGTCCCTGCCTTGGATAGAAGTGTGCTGACAGTTTTGAAGTATGGCAGTGACATTTGGGAACGGGTTTCCAGTTACCCACATCCTGTGCCTCCCAGACCAGACATGCACCTGAATATAGATGAGCTACTTGTGGCAAACTAACAATTCAGAACGTCATGTTTAATACTCTGCTGTCAAGATCAATGTTAGTGTGATTGCTATAATCTGTGCAGATGTGACATTTATCTATCTGATCAGGAGAGGTTGATTGTAATTTCTTTCAATAATCACTACATAATAAAGTTTAACATTTTGGCTAAAGTGAATGGAATGTACTACAAATACAACTTGGATAAATCTTTTGTCGTTCTTCATCACAAAGCTACAGCATTCAGGTTATAACAGGCTCGGCGCAGTGGACTAGTGCGTTGGTGTTCGGATCAGGGGAGCACAGGTTCAAACCCCACTGCCTAAGCATGTCGTTGTGTCCCTGGGCAAGACACTTCACCCCAAATTGCTCCTGTGGGGATTGCCCACAGTATTGAGTATGTAAGTCGCTTTGGATAAAAGCGTCTAACAAGTAACATGTAATGTTATAATAACATGATAGACACAGCAAGAGTCAAACAAAGCCATGATCTACTGGAGTTGTGTCTCCCAGCCAGCCACAGCTATACTTTTTTAGATAATTAAAAATGTAGTATCTGTCTAGCTTCATCTTCACTCTCTCATAATGATCTTTTTGCTTGAGAACAAATGTTTGTGGTCAAAGCAACTGTCATCACAAGTTGTAGTTTGTTTTGAGACCAGTTAAACTAAAAATGTTGTTGGAACATGTTGTAAAAAGCCTGAAGAGGTTTAGCCAGTATGTTTAGTATCCAGTCAGGAAATGGAACATATTTTGTAAAGCTGACTTTTTTTTCCCTCCACTAATCATCTGGAGACCCTTTAATTTACAAACCTTTTGTTGGTTTTGCTCCTGCAAGACTTGCTATAAATAAAGAGAAATTAAAGTGAAGTCAGCTCTGCTTCTCTTTTTGCTGTACCGACTCTCTTTAAGATCCCTGAGAACAATATCCCAGTCTTTTGAGATGCATTTATCATATACATTGAGATGATGATAGTAAAGCAATATATTGTGTACCATGTTGAATGCGGTTTGATGACTTTTCCACAACTAATTCAGTGGTCATAGTTGTGTACAAGTAAATACAGTAAGTCACAGACTGTGCATAAACAGGAATGGATCTCGACTCATACACTGTAGTTGTGTTTAGCCCCCCGGTCTGTGTGTCCTCCTGTCACTCAGACTATGTTTAGGTCTACCTACTGTATGATGCCTCACAAGTATGTGGCGATGCTGGGATAGTACCCTGCTGAAGTTTTCCTGTCCTAAATGAGACAAAGGTTCAACTGAGAATGTGCAGACAAATGTTCAACTGAGAATGTGCATACATATCAGAACAGAGTGAGCTGTTCCTAGTACCAGGTCACATGGTCCGGCTGGGTTGCAGCTGTAAGGAAATATCGCACAGTTAGAAGTTCTTCACAAAGATTTCATCTTTATCGAGTACTCAATGATTTACATCATGTTATGTTTCATACTGGTGACTAACAACAGATTGTGGTCACTCTTAATGAGTTTTCTTTCATGTGTGTTCAGGCTGGTGTGAAGGGAAAGCTTGGCAGACTACTTGGGATTTTTGAGGTAAGCTTGTCAGACTATAGAACAATTGTAATAAACTCTCACAGGGCATAAAATACATTATATAATTCAGTATAAAATCCTGTATCACTTTAGCTAGTAACCATGATATAACGCCAATGTATGCTTCATGCTTTTTGTGCCAGTCCAGTTTTATATTTTGACACATATTTTGCCTCTAAAAGATACTAAATTTGGAATTTGCACTATTCCATATTGGGATTAATATTCAGATTACTTTCGCAGCCCTAGTTAATATTACGTATTTTATTGTTTATGACAGCTTGGCTGGTATTGCGTTAACGTTTATTTCTGTCCTTTATATAGTGTCATTTAAAGTTCCTTTTACTCTTTGCAGCAAAATAAAGACAGTAAGCACAGGACATACGTCTACACCCTCATTGTGACGGAAACACTGGAAGACTGGGAGGACTCTGTCAAGATTGGTATGAATCCACGTTTAAGTCTCTCTTTTTCATTGTATTACTGATAACTGATAAATAAATGATGTTGCAAATATTTACCTAGATACCAAGCCTTTTGCAAAAAAGTATTAAAACAAACCCCCTACACATTTGGGTTGGGGCAAATTTAAATATATGTGTATTTAATTTCATTACACCAATGACGTTTCTGTGCACAATCATAATTCACAAGATATTCTGACTCTCAATCAAATTCTTAGATTTTGATGTCTCTTTGAGGATAAGGACTGTTGAGAATGACCGCTGGGGCCTCTTTTGTAAACTGAGAAACTGAGACGCATACTTAGCTATGAAGTCAAACCATCTGATCTACTGTGTTCACTGTCCCAAAATACTGACAGAACAAATGGAGCAACAACTAGTCTTCCTAAATGGATAACCACTGCATGTGTGCTTCATTACTATTTGTTTTAAACGTGTATTATATTTCAAATTATATGCAACTCAAAACTGTAGCTTTTACTAACTTTTGCCCATATAACTACAGTTCACCAGGGGAGGGGTGTTTGCTGTGCACAGTTGTTTTTCAGTTATCATCACTCTCCACTGCCCCCTCCTTATTGTCCTCTGTTGCACTGCATGTTTAATTTTTTCTCTCCCCCTCAACTGAGAGGCCAGCGTTGGTGTACCTCAGGGTGTCAACATATAGTGGTTGACCCCCACCCCTCCCTCTCACGCCACCCTATGATAATCACAGGCCATGCACAATTCCTTGTTTGAGGAGTACAATTGGAGGAGATGATGGGTTTGAAGCTAAAGTATAAATAACTCCCAGCTGACAGTTTACTGGACACGTTGTTTTATTGGAAGGTGCTTTTTTAGGAAGGTTTGGTGACATGGGGTCTTCATAAACATCAACTAAAGGTCAGGAATGTACATTTCCACTCTGACTTCAGTGCTGCAACATGTGATGGAGAGTTTACCCTTGACCATGTTGTATGATGTAATGGTTTGGCAATTTAAGGTTATTTTGCCTATTGAGCAAGCTTCCTTACCACTCCGGTACAGTCTTACAGTAGCACTGCTAGTGAGTTTTATTATATAAACAAGCTAAATATATGTAAAATAATTATTCTTTTATTATTCATTTATTTGGCGATTGTTTTCTCAATTTCCTTAAGGCAGTGTCTTTGTTTTGTCAGTCTAAAACACCAAATTAAAAGAAAATCTATTTGAGGGCTTTTTTCTGCAATTCCTTTCTGAGGGATTACTTTTAAAATTAATCACATTTTAAAATAATTGCTGATTATATTTCCATCCTTTAATTTATTAGATGGCTCTACGTAATACTACTAGGTCTTAGGCTGCAGCCACACGAGGACGATAACGCAAACGGACCGCAATCGTTATCAAAAAAGTATTCCGTCCACACGCAACAGGCACCAGAAACGTGTCCGTTCACACGAGAGCGCTGGAGACGCTGTAGTACATATGCCAGGCCTGTAAGTGGCGCTGTAGTCCTGCCACAAAAGCAGCGAAGAAGACTTCCCGCGCATGGTTGCCATGGTTGCCCTTCTGTTTATTCTCCGCTGTGGACGCTCTGGCTCTTTTTCTCCCTCCCCGAGGCAAGCGTTTGCTCCTGTTGTAAATCTCTCCGGTAGTCCACCAGCAGATGAAAAACACCCACCTCTCCGCCTCTTCCAAGGAACGAGGGGACCGTGCAGCAGGGTTTCAGTTAAAACAAATTTCGCCGGTCAACATGTCCGTTAAAGTTTAAATCTTCCGGACAAAATTAGAAAAGTGCCAGTCAAAGGTCTTCTTTGTTATTTATTGAGCTTTAAAACAAATGAATAACGACTCTATATAATAATATAATAATAATAATACACGGAGCCTCTCTTTTCCTCCCCCTCTTCTGACAGCCCAGCAGCTGATCTCTGAGCGGGAGAGGTGGGGAGAGGCGGCGCTATTGCGTCATCGTTATCAGGAAATGATCGTATAGAGAGGCGAAGTCCCTCCCCTTCCGGTTGAGATCCATGGGTCCTTATTTCGGAAAAGTTATGCATTGAAGTCAATGGAGAGAGAAAGATTATCTTTCGATCCCGTTTGAATTGTGCCACAAATTACACATATGATGTTTGTCAATTTAAAAGATAATTTTACAAGTCAAAAAAATAAAAATGTGTTGTAAAACTGTGAAGTAACACTTCTTTTGTGTGAAACCGCTCAATGAACTACATCTCCCGTCTCGCACCACACACCAAGACGGCCGTCACGTTGGCACATTTCACTTCTTTCTTTCAGAATGAGGCGAAAAGTATTAAGAGGTGAAAATCACTACAAGTCTGGGCATGTTGAGAGCTGTACATACACAAAAGGGGAGTTAGTCGGTTCCGTAAGAGCCAGCATGCGGGACCGGGATTCTGGGATTTGTAGTCTTTCTAGTTGCGTATTTTTCATAGTCTTATATTTCAACAGTTTTACGACAAACTGTGACTTTTTTGACATGGAAATTATTATTTAAGATTGACAAACATCATAATTCGTGGCACAATTCAAACGGGATCGAAAGATAATCTTTCTCTCTCCATTGACTTCAATACAAACTTTTTCCGAAATAAGGTCCCATGAGTCCCACCGGAAGGGGAGGGACTTCGCCTCTCTATAGGCGTAAACACGGAGCCGTTTGCCCCCCCAGAGCGTTTCGTTTGCAGATCTACCCACCTTGGGACCCGTTATCGTTATCGTTTTCTGCGTTTCCATGTCGGCCTCGTGTGGCCGAACCGTCTATCTGATAGTGAACTGTAGCAGATACGACCGTTATCGTCCTCGTGTGGCCGGGGCTTAAGGTTTAATCCCAACAACACCAACCATTAGGTATAATCCATATTTGTTGACAAACTGTCCTTGAGCACATCACACTTCTGCCTGTTGATTGGTCCTTGTCTTTCCCATGTTTCACAGGACGGAAGAGGAAGTGGTTCAACGTTGACGAAGCCATTAGAGTGCTGCAGAGCCACAAGCCTGTCCATGCAGAGTACCTTCGCAGGCTCACACACACCTGCGGCCCGGTGTGTAGCCAGAATAACAGCAACACCCCGAGCTCCCAAGTGACACACAACAACACGCCTCATTATGTTGCTCAGATCTAGCCGGCAGAAAGGACAATCACCAGCAGCAAGCAGTTGTTCTACACTGGGATGGACATCTGGCCACGACCTCTGCAGTGATTGCATCACTAACGAAGCCTCTTAATATGTACAGTATGGACTTCCTTGAAGTTGAATTTGAAACTCATTTTGAGGTAGTGCCAAAATGTTTTCCAACCATATTCAAGATTTTACATGTATTTTTTGTAATAACCATCAACAGCTATTTGAGCAAATGTGTCCTTTTTAAAGCGTTCAGCTTTAGACAGTTTTTCTGATTGTGCTGCTCATGCAATGTGAAGTTCCTGTTTAGGCTATATTGCTGAATATTTGACCAGCAGTGCACACAAGTATTTGGGTGGTCTTAATGGGAAGCGTTTGCTCTTCGAGGATGTCATATCCACAGAGTGACTCAGTGCCAAAAAATGTGTATAAATTAAATGGCAAGGTTCAGTTTCTTTTTTTAAATGTTAAGACACTTTAAGGCAGTACAACTGAGCTCACCTCAGTATAAGTCAAGTCTTGTGAGGTAGTTTGCCTAAAGAGAGCTGAGGGCAAAGTCTGATTTGATACAATAAGTGTGAACAAGCTTGCTCCTCCTATATTTACAAATGTACACGTACACACAGTATTATCTCTAATCACTGGTAACAGTGTAACACTGTAATAAAGATTAGGTGAATATCTGCAAACCAGTCACCATACTGAAATGCAGATGTCAATAGTTCCTTCTCAGACAAATCTTATAGTAGTACAAATTAATGTTGTCGGACTGAGAAGCAATTCATAAAGTTATAGAAATGTAAAGTCACCATATTGAAAACATGTGTATTTCCCAAAGAAAGAAAGAAAGTCTTTAGCACATACTGTATCTTTCAAGAAATAATACTTATCTGCATGAGACACTATTATTAAGTGCATTTGATTTGACAAATGTGAAGTCCTGTCTGGGAGGGTTTTAAACTTTTAACGCATATTTACAGTGTGCTTTACTCTGATTCTTCTAAGTGCCTTAAACAATCGTACATTGTGTTTGGTTTTTAGATACTGTACACACAAGTGTCTGAACCAGCCTCTTATTTATCTCAGCTGTGGTTAGATTTAAACAATAGGATGTTAAAGGAAACATGGAAATGTTGTTACAATTGAATGTGCAGTATTTAGTATGAATTGATTGCATTTATTTATTTATGTTTAATAGGGAAATACCCCCTCCCGTCATAAACAGGAAATTATGACAGGAACCATGACAGGAAGTCATGGTCAGTGTGCCAGACGTGTTTTTGTCAACACCACAGAAAGAGTTTATTTACAAGAACTGGCTCTTTTATTTAGTGAGCATGGGGAGGATCACTGATAAGCCTTTTTTTCTATGTGTGTATGTGTGATTGGAATATTTTGCAATTATGCTGTATATAAAACATTTAAATAAAAAAAGGTCTATTCATGCCCATTGCCACAGTGTGTTTATCAGAGCAGTATAACAGGAACTGACTTTATAGTCTTGAATATAGCCAGGCTGTGTCCTGCTTCACCATCCTCTCCATGACCCGCCCATTCGCCGCCGCTGCCTGAGCTCAGTCAGGTGCTCGTTATCCAGCGACGTAAACTTTGCATTTGGAAAACTGATTGGATTTAGTGTCAGGACAAACACAGTTGAGGCCATGCTAAGACGGATCCTTCAAATGGTAAGAGTTTTGTTCAACAAAGTGAACCGTAACGCTATTGTTTGGATAACTGAGTCATTTTTTGTAGGAGACACAGGCCTATCCTTGTCTGTTTTCATGGTGGGGCTGCACGTTTTATAACACAGTGTGTGATGGGTGGGCGGGTTTTGTATTTGTAGCCAACAGGAGTTCTTCAATTGGAATAAGCCCCGCCACACTGTCGGAACGAAGTTGTCATATCAAGCGCTTCTTGTGTGGGGTTGACAGAGCTAGCCTTCAAAATGCTAACTTGGTACGCTTGGTTGATGCTACTATTGACATGGTTGTAGCAAGCTATTACATGTCTATGTAATGCAGTAGCAACCTATATAGCTTATGTGTCCGTCTTGCCAGGATTTGCCGAGTTATAAATAACTAGCTAACATGCTTGGGCTCTGGTTAATTTTATTTTCATGGTTTCCGTTAGCTAGCTTTGTGATAGCAGTGCATAATGTCATTTCCTGTCATTTCCACTCATTACATGCTAGCGCTGACGTTAGCCTCAAGCTGACCGCTACATGTAACAAAATGTATCCCTTTTAAGTTATAAAGCTTGTAATAAATGTTAATGGTGACATGTTTTGTCTTAAACACAAATTACCAGCTTGTCACAGCCTTTACATGTATGAGTTCCAGAGGTTAGCTACTTGGCTAGCTTTTACTTGGGACTACATTTACCACCAGGGCATTGCTAAAGCTAACTGCATACTGTGTACACTCTGAAGACCTTGTAACATAATTTAACATTATGCTCTTAAGTCTGTGATGTAAATGTAAGTTACATTCTAAGGAATTATGTTGCAAACGTTTAGGAAGTAAAACAAGATAAGAAGGTTTTATATTGAATTCATGTTTCGTTCCATTACCTCATTACATAAACCTAGCTAATTTGGTCAGTTATTCAAACCGTGTAGCTAACACCAAAGTCATTAAAATGGCTTTAGGGACCTGTAGGAAAACATCTGATTAAAGATTTCCATTCTAATGTTTTACATCTGTCCTTCATGTGAAAAAGTTGGTGAACCTCTGACTTGGTTCATAAAATGGAGTCAGTTATGGGAACTGACACTCCTCAAAATGTAGGTCACGTTCTCAAGATAATGATTACAATATTTTTTGAATTTTTTATTGAAGCTTGTCAGAGCCATCACCTTGGACCAGAATTAGTTAATCTTTTTACAGTACTGATTATGAAGATGTATGTGCTTTATAGTGTATTACGTTGACACAAATAATGTTGTGAGTCTATATTATATAATGAACCCTTAAAGTGGTTAAGACCTCATTTAGGTTGCTGTGTTGAATTAATTATTTTAAAGTGGTGAAGTTGGACTAGTTCTGATTTTTGTGTGAGTTGGGTCAAAGATTGTTCCATGATGCAAATGCTCAGCCTGCCTTCAAAGTGGTGTTTGTCTACTGTCCAATAGGCTCTTAGAAAACTCAGTTCAAAGGGCTCAAAGTCCCCCTCCCTACTCTCAAACCCAAGTATTCACCTGATTCATTCATGCAGACTATCACCATTCACCAGCCACAGCAAAACCCTTTTTGCGAATGGACCACCATTGACACTTCTACTATATGTGTGGGTTTCAGGCCAGTGGACTGAGCTGATTTGATATGACCCTATTCCTTTCTACCTTCAAACTATGTGAAGAGTAGAGTAAATAAAATAGTAATCTACAGGTAATATACACAAATATACAAAGCCAGTATATTTTAAGGTCAAATAATTGCAATGGTATATGAAACTGAGAACGTCTGTGGTTAATTACACAGTTATCTGAAAAACCCTATTACTGGTCGGTTAATTTTCTTCCAAAAACGTTATTGTCAAAGCAATATAACTTAGCAAACATTTGCAATAAGGTTATTTGTGGAAAGAAGGGAGGTAATGTAAGGTCAAGGATACAAGAACATTCCCAAGGCAGTGAATATCCTTATCGCAAGCTCAATCATAAAAAAAAATGGTGCCATCATAACTCTTGCTTTGTCCTGACATACAGCTAAGAGTTTAACAATAGCTAGGCCGACCAGAGGCCTGTGGACACACAGATGGGAGGCACTTTGCATGCTTTTGCTGGGCTGCTGGAAAATACCCTCATATGACATCTGGGCTAGTGTTGGCCAGAAGTTGTGGGAGACAAAATGAAAGAAGGTTCTATGGTCGGATGAGAACTAAATAGAGCATTTAGCTGTCCTAAATGTTTGGTACCAAGCCAAACCGTGCACATCACCAGACCCTTACCATCCCTAACACAAAGCATGGGGGTGGCAGAATCATGCTTTGTGGATGCTGGGAGGCAGGGCTGTGATGGTACTGGGAAAAACAAACACAGCAAATGACAGAGAAAGCTAGCTGTTGCTAAACAATAATTTATGTGTGGCATTGCCAAATAATAGTCCAGACCTTTATCCAAAACTGCTACATATCTATGCAACGTGACAGATCTTTTTCAAAGATTGACCATACATGTAGTCCAGATTCAAACCTGGAAAAATTCCAAGGTGCTGAATACATTTTATAAACATTATACAGCAGCTGGAGGAACTGGTGTCACCACACATTACTGTGTTGTTAATCATGTTACAACTGTCTTAAATATTCATGCCTTTTTTAAAGCGAAAAATGCAACAGCATTCCAGGGTAGAGCTAATTGTTTACATAACATTTGTTGAAGGCTTAAGTCGCACCCAGCAGAGTTGTTTTTGAGATGTGTAAGCCATGACTCTGTCCGAGCCTTGCCCTCTTTTCTGAAAAGTCGGTACTTCCCCAAAATCAAATACAGTTAACTAGATCCAGCATTTACCAAAACATTGCAGGTGAAAAGCACAAACATCAAAAACAGGGGTGTGTAAGCTAGAGGTTTTCAATTGTGTTTCTGAGAAAAACCTCTTCCAAGATGGATAATATACCAAATACATGTATTGTACTATATAAAATATTTGTATTTACATCATGATTACTAAATAAATCTGAAAAAAAATCAAACACTTGGTGGCCACTATATGCAATATTTCAATGTCTAGAATATAGTTTGTCAATTTGATAGGGCAAAGGTAATAAAATGGAATAAAATGTTTAAAAAAAACACCCCTAACGTTGTCTAACTGTTTCTCTCAGGCAGTTGAGTTATCTAAAAAATATTGAGAGTGGGTTTTAATACATTCAGACTAATATAATGTATTCTCTCCTCTCCAGACTCCTGGGAAGGGAGGCTCCCAGAACGCAGAGTCGGAGCCGCCCAGCACAGACCTGAACCACGATCAGACGTCTGAGGTAACGCTGGCCTTTCATTTATCAATAACCTTTTTCTAAACTTTGGAAGCAGACCGAAACACTTGAAGAAGTCATTGTCACATGGTTGAGTCTGATGTTGTGTTTCTGCTTTTCAGGGCTTCATCTGTCCTCAGTGCATGAAGTCTCACAACTCAGCAGAGGAGCTGTTCAAGCACTATGAGCTGTTCCATGATACCGGAGACCTGCCCTCTCACATGGCCCCAACTCGGTGAGACTTTAATGTTACATTTATTATGACAATAAGCTCAACCTGATGATGACAGATTTTTTGAGTTTATGCTTTTTTGTAAACAAGCCTCTCCTTCTTTTAGGGAGGACCTTACAATGCTTCGGCAGGAGGTTCAGGACCTGCATTGTTCTCTTAAGGTAAGCTGGAGTCTCTGAAACAAACAGATGTGTACATTTTATTTGAAATGCATACTTTATTTTGTATCTGTGTGTTGTTGTACCTGATTAGGAGGAAAAGTGGTTTTCCGAAGAACTCAAGAAGGAGTTAGACAAAGTCCAAGGACAACTGAAGCAAGTAATTCCTTCAAGATATTTAAGATTTATTACAATGGCTCTCTGAATATAAAACTGCTTGATAGAACATGATGGAAATGCTTACTCTTACTGTACATTTTTCTCTCTTACTCTCAATTCCACAGAATGATGGACAGACGCCGGGCTCTGAGGATTTAGGTAGGGGGACATTTTCTGTTTAAGATAACTGAAAAAAGATACCAAACATCAATCACTTATATTTGGTGCTCTTTTCTCAGCGCTTGAAAAGAAGCTGAACGAAGCAGAGACAGAAAAGTTCAACATCAAGCAGATGAAAGACCTGTTTGAGCAGAAGGCTGCGCAGCTGGCCACAGAGATAGTAGGTTAGTGTGGCGCCAGAAAACTGAAAGGCCTGTGTCTCCGAATCTGCATCATCCAACAACACTGAAGAACTCTTTCACTAACCCACTGTTATATCTGCTCAATCCATCCATTGTGTTTCTTCTGAAGTAGTTTATTCAACATTTAGTTTTACAGACTCGATGCAGGGTTTTGCATTTTCTGCTGATATGTTTTTTCCTCACATGAGTTAACAAGTGAGGTATTTGTGTTGTTTTAAATATGATAGTATTAACTACTAAAAATGGTTTGTTCTGACAGACTTGAAGTCCTGCTATGATGAGGAGAAGAGTCTGAGGGAGGCTGCTGACCAGAGACTGGGCCGACTGACCGAACAGCTTCAGAAGGAGAAGCAGGAGAACGAGAGACTCCAAACAGAACTGGTACAGAACACACTTCATCAGTGTTGTGCTCCGGAGTCTGAAAGAAAGACATTGAATTGACACCATGAAATCTGTTTGGCTTTCAGATGTGTGCTGAAGGAATCAAAGCAGATCTAAGTCCGACAAAACTTTAGTTCAGTTATTGCAAGGATAGCCATAAGTAGGTCTGAAAAATGTAA